CTGTCTCGCTTCTTCTTTTGGTTCCGCTTTAGTCTCTTCTGTCTTTGCTTCTTCTTTTGGTTCCGCTTTAGTCTCTTCTGGCTTTCGGTTCTTTCTTTTGGTTTGTCGTCCTCTGTTAGAAGGCACAGATAAATGATCATACCATTTTCACTCAGCACTAAACCTTCGGAACCTTAAAATTAGTAAATCATATATCCGTTACTGCTTAATGAAATGTGTATTCTCATAGATTATTGGACCTGTTTTTTTTCTTTTACAATTATAGGAAAAGTTTTAATGATTTTACATTCTAGAGTTTAATACAGGGCTGACTATGACAGTGCGTTAGAAATCAAAAGTGCCTAAATCCTTCTGTGTTTATACGGAAATTTCGGCACTTCTTTTGTTGAACCAATTAGGAAATCAAACATGGTTACCATGGCACAAAAGCATGATTGTAACAATAGAGGTACCATTTAACAGGAAAGAAACAACTTTTTTCATGATGGAAATCTAGTTATATTTTTCCAAAGAAAAGGACTTTGAATTATATTATTATAGTAAATGGGGCAAAGGCAATTATTAAGCCACCCAATGATGCATAACACAATGTATTTGATGAATTAATAACGAAAATACAACCAATTAAATTCAAGTATAAACGTTTTTTTCTAACGAATTTACGACGTTTTTTAGTACTTAATGTCCGCGGGTAATCGACTACTATATCATCCATCAAATGCTTGGCTTAGTCCTGTCATAAACCATCATCGAGATCAATTACCGCTAAGGAAATGGAGAATGTCTGAAAAATACCAAAAGCTGAATTGTGATGACTGAAATTCGAGACACATAACCAACTGATTTTTGTCTTGCCCATTAATTACAATAGACTTTCGATAACAGCTACAAACCCTATTCGTTTCTGTTCTTCTGATGCATTTCATTTTTGTGTAAAATCACCCTTATCTATTACAAACATTATAAAACATCTTTCTCGGGAAAATTATCTAGGTAGTTAAGCATACCAGCATGTGGCTAAAAATGACACAGAGAAAAAGAAGCACTAAATCCTTGAAACATTAAAATATTCTAGATTTACACAGCCATTACTCACCTTCGTTGGTTTAGTACCATATCTTAATCAAACTATTGCTAAGTAGTTATTAAAGCTTTTTATTGCTAGACTAACAAGAATTTAGTACTGAGACATACCTTTCGATTCAACTTTAGCCTTCAGTTCATCGTTCTCCTTTTTCAACATCTTCTTCTGCTCCTTCAATTTATCCAGCCAATCGCGAACTCCGAGTTGAACAGCAAGTTGCTTGACGGCATCCTTCTTTGCTTTAGTTTCTTCATCGTCAGTCTCCGAATCTGTGTCTGCCCCTTCATCAGCGACTTCCGGCTTCGCTTCTTCTTTTGGTTCCTCCACTTTACCTTCTTCCGGCTTCGCTTCTTTTGGTTCAACTTTAGTCTCATCTGCCTTCCCTTCTTCTTTTTGTTCCACTTTAGTCTCTTCTGTCTTCTCTTCTTCCTTTTGTTCCTCTTTTGTCTCATCGGCCTTCGCTTCTTCTTTTGGTTCCACTTTAGCCTCTTCTGTCTTCGCTTCTTCTTTTTGTTCCACCTTAGCCTCTTCTGCCTTCTCTTCTTCTTTTTGTTCCACTTTAGCCTCTTCTGTCTTCGCTTCTTCTTTCTGTTCCACTTTACCCTCTTCTTTCTTCGCTTCTTCTTTTTGTTCCACTTTAGCCTCTTCTCTCTTCGCTTCTTCCTTTTGTTCCACTTTAGTCTCATCGGCCTTCGCTTCTTCTTTTTGTTCCACTTTACCCTCTTCTGTCTTCGCTTCTTCTTTTTGTTCTGGCTTCGTGTCCTCTTTTTGATCCCCTTTAATTTCTTCCTGCTTTGCTTCTTTTTGTTCCACTTTAGCCTCTTCTGTCTTCGCTTCTTCTTTTTGTTCCACTTTAACCTCTTCTGCCTTCGCTTCTTCTTTTTGTTCCACTTTAGCCTCTTCTGTCTTTGCTTCTTCTTTTTGTTCCACTTTACCCTCTTCTTTCTTCGCTTCTTCTTTTTGTTCCACTTTAGCCTCTTCTTTCTTCGCTTCTTCTTTTTGTTCTGGCTTCGTGTCCTCTTTTTGATCCCTTTTAATTTCTTCCTGCTTTGCTTCTTTTTGTTCCACTTTAGCCTCTTCTGTCTTCGCTTCTTCTTTTTGTTCCACTTTAGCCTCTTCTGCCTTCTCTTCTTCTTTTTGTTCCACCTTAACCTCTTCTGCCTTTGCTTCTTCTTTTTGTTCCACTTTAGCCTCATCTGTCTTCGCTTCTTCCTTCTGTTCCACTTTAGCATCTTCTGTCTTCGCTTCTTCTTTTTGTTCCACTTTAGCCTCTTCTGTCTTCGCTTCTTCTTTTTCTTCCACCTTAGCCTCATCTGTCTTCACTTCTTCTTTTTGTTCCACTTTAGCTTCTTCTGTCTTCGCTTCTTCTTTTTGTTCCTCTTTAGCCTCATCGGCCTTAGCTTCTTCTTTTTGTTCCACTTTAGCTTCTTCTGTCTTCGCTTCTTCTTTTTGTTCCACTTTAGCTTCTTCTGTCTTCTCTTCTTCTTTTTGTTCCACTTTAGTCTCTTCTGTCTTCGCTTCTTCTTTTTGTTCCACCTTAGCCTCTTCTGTCTTCGCTTCTTCTTTTTGTTCCACTTTAGCCTCTTCTGTCTTCGCTTCTTCTTTCTGTTCCAGTTTAGCCTTCGCTTCTTCTTTCTGTTCCAGTTTAGCTTCTTCTGTCTTCTCTTGACTCTCTTCTTGTTTTGCTTCTTCTTTTTGTACCACTGGACTCTCTTCTGGTTTCGCTTTTTCGTCTATTACGAGAGACAGATTAGTAATGGAGAGTCGATCAGACATTATTTGGTTAACACAACCCTCCACCCATTATTACCTTAATGTATGATCTAATGCAGAATAGGAACCGTATTTTTCCACTTTAAGTGATACCATATTTTTATGATCCAGCGTACCAGATTCGACTATGTGAGTGCGTTGCAAAGGAAAAGTAATTCCAAGTCAACAGTGTATGACGTAGGTACATTATCATTCTTACAAATTAGGTACTTTTGAAGTAAAATGTATAGGCTTTGTGTATTTAATACCAACTGCTAAAAGTAGATTAACTTATTTTTTCTTTACTGAGAATCCTGGAAAGTAACTGATTTTGTCTTGCCGGCGAAGTATGACAAACAGATTTTCTGTTTATTTTCTTTATTTTGGTACAAGATATCAATGCGTGTTAGAATTTGTAAAGTATGATTTATATTTTAAGTCATTTTAACACATTTATGAATATGGCACCCGAACAGCGGCCGAACGTTTCTCCCCCTAGCCATGGTTAGGAGTAGGTCGGAGAAAAGTTGGCTGTGTCGGCCGGTGTTCGGCTAGGTCGGGTAGTGTTTGTCTGCTTCAACCGAACGTTTGAAAAATTTTGAACAAGAATTATGAGATCTCATACCTCCATGAAATATATATAGTTTATGTAAACGTTTTTGGGGGAATTTGTCTCATTGATTATGGAAGTAAGGTCCTAATTAACGTAATTTAGTTAATTTATGGTTTTCTAAACTCAAATTACAATATTTTTCTTGTGTAATCCCTATCCATTGGCAATACATGTATTACATTTCAACATACCCTCATTAATTACGCAAATTACATCTGTATTAACATAATATATGCATAGTGATGTTAACCTTTAAGTAAGTTACACGTCACAAGGTTTAAAATTCCTATCATTTACTATTGATAAATTACAGAATTTCACATTAATTATGCAAATCGGGTCATTATTTGCATATTTAGTACCTGTTGATGTTTCACCTGCGCCATAGATTACCTACATAACATGTATGAAAGTATTATTATGTAAAACTTTGTAATTACAGAATTTCCTCCTAAATCATGCAAATTAAGTCTTCATTTGCAGAAATTGCATTTGATTATGTACCTCTTTACATAAGCCCAAAATCCAAGACCATAGCATGTTCAGAATAAAAGATATAAAAACCAGAAGTTCTGCAGTACCAAGGTCAGCCACCAGGAGGCCCATAATTGAACTTAACCTTTGTCTTTCTACAACCATGGAGGGTTTTTTCCTACCTCCATGCTACAACCTACCAACATACCAAATATTATCACAACCCATAAAGGCGTTCTGAAGTCATGCTGACTACAAATGTGCGGAAACACAGACACAGACAGACAGACGCACACAGACACACCAAAAACAATACCTCTAATTTTCTTGGAGGTAAACATGTTAAAAAACATTCGTGGATTGTTGGGAGGTTAGGCCATGGTTGGTTGGAAGTCAGCAGAACACCAATGTTCGGGGCGTGTTTGGGGGGTCAAATATGATTCAAACTTAACTGAAATTAGTTTATATTTGTATAGAAAGGTAATCGTGACCCAAATATGGCCAGACTGCTCCAAAACTTAAGCCTAATTTGGTGGGCTAGTGTTTGGGGGCAATGTCAGGGGAGGGTTCTGAATGTGTGACAGGGGCTTTATATAAATGTACCTTTATGTCCGTAGAAGGAAATCTCGGCCAGATGAGGGGCCCAGCCTCCGTGCGTCTCTGTGATGTAGATTCGCCAGTACCTGGCCGCGGCGTTGAATCCCCCGTATGTCTGGTAATCCTCCACTGCTGCCGACATACTTACATCAGTTAGCGCGTTTTTCCACTTGAAGGGATCCTTTGTTTGAGACGACTGGAAGGTGAACGTCTTGATGTCGTGGATGGTGTCCGCCCGGCACCGCAGCTGCATCTTCCAGAGCCTGTACGATTCTCGGAAGTCGAAGATGATGAACCATTGGTTGTAGTTCTGCGGCAGGTCAGAGGCGTTCCAGTAGGTGTGCAGGCCTGAGCTGTGGTCCAGCGCCTTGTCCGCGTCGAACGCCAACCCGTGCACAACCAAGGGTGTTCCCGATGCGCTAATAGCCCAAGGTGGTCGGCCAATCAACCACGAGGCTATAAACATCAATACAGTATGTATCGTTATTCATACACCTCAAAATCGTAGTAATATAAATCAATAGTACAAATTAATCGAACAGCAGTTCCCTATTACTTTACTGCACTTTCTTTGACACGGTACAGGCAATTAGTCTTCAAGTATGATTTTGCAAATAAAAGATTTTTAAGCTATTACAGTGATTTTCTTTACTGATTTTTAAATCGCATAAAAAACATATTGCAAAAAGGACTTTGGACCATCGCATGATGGTGACTGGCGAGCATCAGCCAACGGTCGATATTGTGTATTATCATATAGCCAGATGACGTTGACCAATCAGAGGACTCCGTTCCCCTCATAACCCAGGTCGTTAATATCCGATATACGGACCTGCGGGTCCGTAACCGACGCTACCATTACATGACAGGGGGTGTTTTCTTCTAACCTACTGCTTATTCTAAAAACATTTCTGATAAACTTGTTTATGTAGAGTAGTTTATGTATACTTTAGTTACGATGAAACTAAATACAATTAACATCAGCAGTAAAATCAGGGAACAAAGCATTATTTACAAATATTATTTTTTACTTGACACTCCTATTGTACTCTTGGGCGCCCTTGGGCCAACCACAGAGATCAGAATTTGGACAAGAGTGGAAGAAATTCAGCGGTAAAATTCACTGGTAAATTCCGTTCATGTGCAACTTTCAGCTTTAAACAATTGGTTTGTTGTGATGAGGATTCACTTCCATGCAATATCAAAATATTTACATGTTACACATGAGTTGTTTCCTTGTGTGTCAACTGTACATGCATATGTGATAATGTTGTTGTTGTTATTATTGTAATGTCTATATGATAATAACGTTAATGACCCGCTTTCCTTTGGTGTACACGGTGTCATAATTCATGGTCGGTTCCTATAACCACCTCATAAACGACCTCGTCCGCTCTGCGGACTCGGTCGTTCATTCGGTGGTTATAGGAACCGACCATGAATTATGACACCGTATACACCTCAGGGCGGGTCATTAACCCTATATTAATGCCCTTAGTTATGACTCATTGAAGAAGACAAAAAAGTTGCATCTAATGAGAGACCAGAGAATGACTATATAAGGTGAGCATAACAATTGCACCCGGAAAAATTCTGCGAGCCGACAAACTTTAACACACACCGAATACTAGATAACTACACATAAATATGTCACTGGACTAGTATTAGTTACATGTAATTTAGTATTAATACATGTAGGTAGGAAGGTAGCCTCAACCAGGCTTCGGCCAACTAAACAGATAACATGCCGTGGGAGTTGGTCCACTAAATAATATAGTTTTGCGCTCTCTGGTGAGGAATATGTACCTTAACGGAACAAGTTGAACACTTCCAGCCGCTTCCGTAGCCTGGAGGAGGCTATTAAGAAGGCACTAAGAAACACCTACATTATAAACTGTCGAGTGTGTTTGTCTACATACGTTCAGAAGGTATTGCCGATGTCTTCTGCTCCTCCACTTCACTTTCAGAGTCGTCCTCTTCGTCCAGCTCCTGACTGAGCTGAATCATGTACTTCTTCATTTCATCGATGGCCTTGACCTGGTGCTGGACGGTCTTGACCAGAGCGAAGACCGTCTCCTTCAGGCTCTCATAGTTGGCCAGGTCGATGGCAAGGTTGACGTTGGTCATGATTGTTTTCTGTGTCTGACGGCTGGCTGAGGATGTTCTGCGCTGTTAGGAGGGTAGAAACAGGAGAGTAAGTTTGGTATTTCATAGCCGTTGATGTATTAGAAAACACAATCACCACACAATCACACACAACATCAAACGTTATCCTGTCTAGTCAAATTCCATCATAAATGAGTTCCAAAAAACCACTATTTTGCTGAAAACTATGCCAGGTAACCAATGCCAAACACGTATACGTATGTTGCAATGGAAAAAATCATGACCGTAGCACGAGATATCAAACACGTGTACACCGCTGCAGTACCGTGCAAAAGACGCTAGAATACCCATAATTGAACTTGATCTTTGTTGTCCTGACCCCAAACTCCCTACCAAGTATCATAGCAGTGGCATATTAGTACCACACACCGAGTTATAGGTATAATAGAAGTATGCTAGTAGCTCTTTCATATAAGTAACATACAGCTACTTACCAAGTATGTTATAAATTGTATAAGTATTAATATATAAGAATTCTATAAGTATTATTGACCAATTTACAAGTGTGTATTTTAATCAATCTATAATGTAGCGTGTATTTTAATCAATATGTGACACAATATTTGTTTTGTAAAAGCTGCAAACATGCTTGTAATGAATAAACCAGTGTACTACTACTATAACCGGGTTTAAAAATCGGCTACCACCCCCCTAACACAAAAGCCTTCTCGAATATGGTAATAAAAACGCTTTCAGTTACAAAACAAAAATCAAAACCGTAGTATGAGTTGAACTAAAGATGCAAAAGACTGACGTTTTGATGAAGTACCAAGGAAAGCCGCCGGGAAGCCCAGAATCTACCTTGGCTTTCGTCTTCCGAAGATCTACCCACATAAAAAATATCACCATAACCCATCCAGGCCTTCTTCAGGACACAGATAAGAAGTTACGTCAAATGTTCCAAGAATGGGGTGGTTATTTTTTTCCTTTAAAACTCCAGTGTTTCCTATGATATTGATGTGTGTTAGTTAATTTGTACCGTCTACCCATGATGCCATGTTTGTCTAGCCCTGCGGGTGTATCCTGCCTTCACACATTGTTGTGCTATAGCTAGCAGTGGGCCGTGTGGCGCAGTCGGTAGCGCGTTCGGCTCACACGCAAGAGGTCTCGGGTTCGAATCCTGCCCATGTCACCGATCTTGTGCCCTTGGGAAAGGCACTTTACACGACTTTCCCCACTTCACTCAGGTGGAAATGAGTACCTAGCTTCGGTTAAGGACGTCTCTCGGATAGGACGGGTCAAAACTCATTTGCATAGGACAGGAATGCATCGGAATGATCCTGTTGACGTTAAACAGCTTGTTTTTCACTGTGTTTTGAGGTGTTGGGGCATTTTATGCTCAACACTAATTAGATTACTATGGGTCGGAAAACCAGCTGTATAACGTCAACAGTGTGTCGCATATCCACCAGTGGCGCTGTTCATCTTGGGAATGGGAAAACGGTGAGCTAGGGTGACTCACTTCGACGCGGCAAAATTTATAGCAGGGTGCACTAGCGAAATACGAAAAACGGATATGTCTGGGGTTAGCATAGGCTATAATCTATAAAATAACTGAAAACAAAAAAGTTTTTTTCGCGTGTAAGGCCCTCTTTTATATAACGCGGCCCTGCAGAGGACAAATGAAGTGCAGCAGGCTCACTATGGAACGCAATTAGATAGTGCGGCGCATTTATACATGGACAGAAAAAAAATTCGCAACCCAAATCACACAGTCCCAAACATGACTGAGTCTTTAGGGGACTGAATTGTATACATCGTTTCCTGTAAATATGCATATGTAAATACTTTGAACAGAACTTTACACAACAGAAGTATGCACATAAGTCGCCATCATCATGTTTTTAAACACAACCGTACTTTGTATATAATAGTTGCAAACAATATGGGCATTAGAATTTAACATCTTCTATATCATCTCTCAGAGATTGTTGTAGAATGTTACGAAGATAGTTTTGTTGAGGTCTGAAACGCTTTATTCAGTAAGGACACAGCAAGTAAATTTATCCTCGTCAGACTCCAAATTTTATGCGATAGGGCGAAAAAAAACAAGGCGGGCCAAAAAACAAGATTCCTACATTTTCAACTTTTGAGATCATAAACCTTGTTAAACTAGAATTGAGGCGACAAAACATGACAACACAACCAGCAGGTCTTTATTCGTGTCCTTATCATTATTACCTGTCCTTGTAGATCTCAATACATTGAGATCTTGTATACATCTCAATTAACAATTGTTGAAAAGATAATTCATACGTGATGAAACACCTTAAACTGTCAACACTTGCCATGAAACGCAATTGAACCTCAAATTTGCTGGGTCGCTGACGTCTCTAATATATTAATAGGTTTTTACAACATTTTGTCCATTTCGGCATGTTTTCCACTGTCAGAGAAAAACAAAATTTCTTGTTTTTTTTTTCAGAATCAGTCGAAAATCAATGCGCGCGCTAATATCATCCATAGAAATTACTTGCTGTGGCCTAAGTTACCAACCTGGTGAAACTATTCACGGGGATTTAATAATTTTGTTTGTGCTACTTTGTACGCGCGTCAGATCTAGAGACCCCGGGGCTTTGTAGCGATTATCACGTGTAAATCTCACTTCTGTTGCGCAGGCATATGGTGACCTTCACAGCCAGCATTGTCCTTCAGCACTCCTGTCTACACGTGAGATTACGCGGGTCAGGGATGGATTTGCCTTCAGGGTACTTGTAACAAATACCTACACAAAACGGGCAAAGAAAGAAAACTAGAGAGAAAGTTTAGCGCTCCAATATGTTTGATTACGTGTTGCACAAGATCTAGGTTGGTATTTGGATGAAAATGGCTCATAATTTCGGGCCATATTTCATGGTCAACTCAAACGTGCGTGATGCACGCCGGAGGACATGTCCTTCTTGGCCTGAGCGAGTTTCGCCTTTTTTGTAAACAGCAGGAGAAGGTACCTGCCTGTGTCAAAATGAAGACATTCGGAATATACTGAAAACAAAAATCGCAAATCAAAAAAATCTTGCGGGACGAATATTCGCGCAAGATGGTGTATTGGGTAATATTTTGATGATTATTTACTTCATACTGACCTTGATGAGCTGACCTCATGAGGTTACATTTAGCTTGCCAGCTTTACTCAAGCTTCAGCGTTTTGCACAGTTTACAAGCTTTTAATTACAGTCTCAGAATAAGTTCTTATGTACGAAAGATTTCAAGCAAAGCAGTGCTAGCGAACACCATGATTATGCGTTTCGTACTTTTCCATGTAATTTTTATGTTTTTCTCGATACTTAAGATAACATCTCTTCAGCCGTGTTGTTTTTCATCCCATCAAATTTACAACTTCACTGCCTAGGGGACCGTCCGAGGTCAACATGTTTGCTTCAGTGTCCACAACAACAAATGGTCAGTCCAGTGTTTTACATCTTCCAACACACAACCGCCGTGTTGTGATCACCGGGAAAACTTGTAAAATTGTTAACAAACAATGAAAAGGTTGGGCCTTAGCCTTACATATGGTATCCGTGTCTGACATGTTTCAACCTGGCCCTTCCACTTCACCACAGTCAAACAGCAATATCTTCTCCCTTCTCCCTTTCTCAGTTTAACCCCCCTCTTAAATTCTCATACACAGCACTAGAATCCAATAGCCCGTACTTGTAGCTATGTTTGAAAACTCGATGGGACGTAGGTAATAAAAGAACAACGAAACGGGAGATTCTGCCAGAGACGTTGGGGAAAGTAGTGAAGCACCTCAGACTGACGAAAACAAAAATCCTTTCAAAAAACGCTTCTTTAACCATCATCTAAAGGCCTGGTCACATATGTCGCGCGATCAGTGACGTACGATCGCAAAACTGAAGACGCGCATGTCGTGCGTGCCTCTTGCAAATTCAGTTGTCCTGTTAATACGAAGATCGTCTCAGATCCTTGTCGTTTGTTTCTGTCACAGCCTACATGTACGTGAAATTCCTACGACATCAAAATCGCAGGACGACCTACGACGAATGTGACCACGCCGTCAATGACCAAGACTTGTCTGATGTTTATTGATTTTTTAAGCAAATGATCCAATTAGACAAGGAAAGCTGCCTACCTGGCAGTGTCAGCTGTCTTGGCGGGCACAAGCCTTACTTGGTACCAAGACGGTCTCCTCAGACAGCAGATAAACTATCAAATGTACGTGAAGCTCCGTGTTTTGCCCACTTGTTGTTTCCCGAGCGCGGCGCCTGGGTCCGGGCCCTCCTCGGTCCGCTTCAGGTGGGACTGGGCTCCGGTGTGGGGCGGGACGGGCAGGCTCGGGCATTTAACACTTGATATCATCATGTCGGGCCCCGACAAGTCAACTGTTTGTTTCATATACCGAGTTATGTCACCTTTTTTTTCCAACACTATTCATACATTGGTCTATATGCAAATTGGAAACAATGAAACGTTTATTGGCTCAATGTTATAAATACGCAAAACCTTGAATTTTCGAGTGAAGCAATAAAAAACTACAGGAAGATTTTACACCACTTATCCATTCATTTGTGTGGATTATAGGGGAGGATCTACATCGAAAACCATCTATAACAATGTAACGTTACATAGCCCATGCCATGGATCTAGAACGCCAATTCTAATGCCATACTGATTTGAATCTATGGATGATATCGTCTGGGCGCCCAAAAACTCATGCCAAAAAGCTGGACAAGAAATGTCGCCTTCATTATGAAATCTAAATAGTCAGGATGGCCGAAAAATAGCAGAGCGCACAGAATATGGTATACATAACTATCAATTCTTTATTCTTGTTCTTTCACATCTTCTTTGACTTATAAGTAAGTAAGCAAGTAATACTAGTAGATGATTTAAGGCAAAATTATGGCATGTTCTTTTCTTTCGACTTCTTTCCTCCTTCAGCTACCAAGAGAAACCGTCTAGTCGAATACTTTTGGAAACAGACAAAAATCGATGTGCTCGTTCGTATAATCAAGTCAGTGTGACCTTATCAAAAATAAGAACTATTGTGAAATGGTGACAGCCAAGATAATGCACACGTGTGTGATGTGATCGTTGAACTAACGCCAGATTGCCGGTGCTAGTTTCCCTTACACTTCAGTACTCTCTCTCTCTCTCTCTGCGCAACTACGCACACACTTCTACTGGACTGAACTGGATCTGGGATGCCCCGGGGTGAATGCACAGCGTTTAAACCACGCTAAATACCAAAAGTAAACACAGGCCGCTGAGACATGGAGAACTGCCAAATAAACAATAAGGATTTAAAACATAGAACAATTCTCCTCGCTGAATTGCGATGACCTTTACAATTTTTATACAGTACTTTAGAACGATTTGACAAGCAGGGTCATTATTGTCGACATGAATAAAGTTTATTTAACGTGAGAGTTCTATTCGAAACTGTTAAGGCCAAGGTCATTGTCCAACACTATGAAAAGCTTGGTTTTGTAGTTTGACACGGAGGCAGTCGGGAACAAGAGTCTGTCTGTTGACAAGAGTTCCATTTTCGAGAAGTGGTCGAACATCTACAGACGTCACTGATGCCGTCTCTTATCTTGGGAAACCAGCGACGGTCGCTGTCTGCACAGAAGAAATCGGTGTTTGCTTCATTTCCAAGCAGATTCAATCGGGGGGAGGGGACAATCAACCAGGTCATCAGAGTTACCATTTGCCCCCGGAGGCTTAGAGATCAGTATCTGCTGCCGTTTGTCACCATACTGTCCACTTGTGCACCTCAGCCGAGTGGTGTTGCCTGTTTCACTACTGTGAACACCTGGTCAGCTAACGTAAGGACAGGGGCAAGTCACCTGAAGATTTGTAGCACGTTTTGGGCATCTTGTTTCTGTCTACGTCGTCATTTAGGGAGGACGTTGACCAGACCGTTCCCCAATTTAAAGTCACTGGCATACTTCCAATATTCGTTGTTTGTTTGTTTGTTGATCATTGCTAAGAAGATCAGGGGAGCTAAATTCCCACAGGTGAGTGGTTCCGATTGTGACAGGACACATTGGTAAAGCACCCCCGGTCCCCGGCACGAAACAAAACTGTATAGCCAGGGAAACGGTGAGTTTTGAAATATCTGTTGTGTGGCAAACTCTACCAAATGCTTTGCTTAAATATGTGAGAACCGGGCTCCTGGCAGCCTTGTAGAAGAGTCAAGGATATCTACGGCCCTTTATTGAGCATGCAGGCAAGGTCAAGTCGGCCATGACGGACCTAGGACATATATGATTATAGATGTCCTTGGTGACCCTTTCATCTTAAGTACGTCGACGTCAGCACGGCAGTTCACACGTGCAGTGTTTCACAAACAATGCCGGTCCAAATAACGTGTGGCTTCTGAACCCAGTCCATTAATCACACCATTGACAGAACTCGTTCTTCTGCCCTTCTCCCCGTTTTCACCTCAAGGTCACACGTGCACGGACGGTGGGAAAGTCAGGGAAAAGGATGGATGGATGGACGGATTGAAGGATGGATAAATGGATGGATGGATGGATGGATGGACGGATTGAAGAATGGATAAATGGATGGATGGATGGACGGATTGAAGAATGGATAAATGGATGGATGGATGGATGGACGGATTGAAGGATGGATAAATGGAGTGGAGTGAATGGACGGATTGAAGGATGGATAAAGTGAATGGAGTGGACGGATTGAAGGATGGATAAATGGATGGATGGATTGAAGGATGGATGGATGGATGGATGGATGGTGGATGGATGGATGGATGGACGGATTGAAGGATGGATAAATGGATGGATGGATGGATGGACGGATTGAAGGATGGATAAATGGATGGATGGATGGACGGATGAAGGACGTTTGGATAGATGGACGGACGGATGGATGGATAGATGGATGGATGGATGGATGGATGGGTGGGTGTGTGTGTGTGTGTCTGAATGGATGGATGGATGAATGAATGATTGAATAAATGGATGGATGAATAAATGGACGGATGGATGAATGAATGAATGAATGAGTGGATGGATGGATGGGTGGATGGAGGAATGGTTGGATGGATGAACGGATGGGTGGATAGATGGATGATGGATGGATTGATGGAATGAATGGATGGATGGATGAATGAATGATGGATGAATGAATGAATGAACAAGAGTTCCACGATCTCATACCTTCGCCAAATGATGTTAACCCTTGCGGTTGACGGATTATACAATTTTAATAATTGATTTCGCAGTAAGAGCGTCATTAGCATGGATTACATCATTTGATCATATTCTCCACCCAATGACAGCCTTAGGCCACACTGATTTAATTTTATGGATGACATCCTCTGGGGACCACAAAACTAATGCGAGAGGGCGAAAAAAAAAAAAATCCAGCCAAAAAAAAAAATGCTGCTTAACCACAGGAATACAAAGCCGGTAATGCGGATTGAACCACAGGACACAGTGACTGCATCAAATAAACAAGTTTTTATTTGCAGGAGGTAGATGTAGATCATCTTATTCTGGTCTCATCCTCCTTCACAGCTCCTTTGCAGCTTCCTCCTTCGCAGCTTCCTTCTTTGCAGCTTCCTCCTTCACAGTTTTCTCTCCCTACAGAAAAACGTAAAAGGTAGATATATACATTATATATACAGTATATAGTTTATACTTTATACCCTGTAGAAGTGCATACAACAAGGGGATTGAATAGATGAAATGTAAAAGGTAGAGCAGAAACAGTACCCACCTGAAAGTTAGTGGTCCATCTTCTTCCTCTCTAGATCTCTTCCTCTTCAGCTTTCTCTTCACTCTTGTACGCTCTCCAACACCAGCTTTGCACACCTACAGAAAAATGACATGGTATGCAAAATTGATTTACTTGGAATGTATGTTTCCAAATAAAATTGAAGTACAGTGTATTGTAAGTTACAACATTACTAATGCAGGTGAGAATGAATGTACATTAAAACATGAGGTACACAATAATATTTAACCTACATGGCACACTGGGTGAATGCACTGAAACTCTTGCAGTTTCTCTGGAGGGATGGGAAGCGTATTTGTTTCCCCACACAGCCAGCAGACCAGTGGCAGAATGGTCAGTGCCCTAGACTTGACTTGCGCAGAGTAGTAATACACCTGGTGCACTACATGAAAGAGCCCTGCACAAATTAAAACGGATGTGAAACAGAGAAATAAAAATCATTTTTCACAAAGGAAACTTTGTGAAAATTTGCGAGAGCTCAATATTTAAAAAAAAAAACACCCAACAGAAAATCAACAAAAACTTGCATGAAGAAATGCATCTTGTTGGAAATTTTCCATATGATTACAACATTATAATCTACATACAACTACTGTAAATCATTAACAACTTTATTTTGTCTGTATCATAACACGTGTACGCGCCCCTCCCCATAAATTTTGCTGCGTTCCCAGATTCTCGATCAAAATCAGAAAAACAAAACAAACAAAAAAAATAACTGAACTATTCTTACCTCAAAAGCTGACTTCTGCTGACAATCTTCGGCTTTAGTTGTTGCATGCCAGTTTTGTCAACAACAATACGTACAAAACAGCCGAACTGAAAAATGGCATGGCCTGACCCACTTAAAGGCCACCTCAACTCCTCTCCCATTTTCTCTCATCGTTGTGGCCGCTCTGGAAAAGACGTCTGTCCGGGCGATACTCGCTGGCTACCACAAGTCGCTCGTAAAGCTAGGCAAACGTTACATCCCCCTCGCCAATGTCGATGGCATACCATTCGACAACAACGCCTCCAGTTTTCCTCTGCATTTTGACGTAATTTTTGAGGAGGACGCTGCCGCCATATTGCAAACTTCCCGGTTTACATTGTTATTGTAGCTAGTACGCATGTGCAAAAGGTTCATTTACGACAAAATTGACGTTTTGCGGTAGTACAAAAGAAGTTTTACGATAAGCCGCCCTTTTGCGGCATTCATGAGTCGGCAGTCTGTACCGAGTTCCAGCCGAGTTCCGGAGTTCCGTGAAGCCTCAAAAGACATGATTTTTTTTTTTTTTTTTGGCGAACAAGCGAAAATCAATGCGCGCGCGGATGTCATCCATAAAATTAAATCAGTGTGGCCTTATCTTAACAAAATAGGCTATTCTAGCACTTCCTCATAAATTATGCAAATGAGGTCATAATGTGAATAAATTATCTTCATTGATGTTCACCTTCACTTAACTTCCAAATGCGGCAAGTATGAAATTCCCAGCAATTACAACTATGAAATTATAACGATTCCCCATTAATTATGCAAATTATGTCTTCATTTACATAATTTATATCCTCAGATGTTTTTCTAGATCTCAATTACATGTCACAAGTGTTTCATAGTCCTATTATCGAATGAAGTAGGTTTATAGAATTTCCTCATTAATTATGCAAATTAGCACCTGATTTGCATAATTGTCATCTGATTATGTCAAGCATCACTTCAGCTACCTACATACCAAAAATCATGACAATCCGTCAACCGGTTCTTGAGTTATCAACCTTCGGAGATTTTTCAAGAATCGCTCCTGCAGTTCCAGAACAAGCCGCTAGGGGGTCTAAACTCATGTCACATCTTCCCTACCCCTAGAGCTATCTACCACCAAAATTCGTGACCCTAGCATGTCCAGATCACGAGATATCAAAACCGGAAGTTCTGCTGCAGTACCAACAAAAGCCGCCAGGGGGCCCAAAATCTAATCATTTCTAGGTCTCATTAAGACCTACCCACCTACCAAGTTTCATGACAATGCATACTAAGCTTCTTGAGTTATGCTGTTCACAGACGGACAAACGCTACTGAAAACATAACCTTCTTGGCGAAGGTAATAAATGGATGGATGAATAAATGGACGGATGAATGAATGAATGAATGCATGAGTGGATGGATGGATGGATGGATGGATGGATGGGTGGATGGATGGATGGATGGATGGATGGGTGGATGGATGGATGGATGGATGGATGGATGGATGGATGGATGGATGGATGTTTTGAAGTTTATTGAAGTTTATTTCATACTACAGCCTTATAGCAGCCTGAAGGCTGAATTGACAGGTCTGTTTACATACAGTGTATATGCAATAAATAATTACATTAAAGATGTCTAAGTGTGCTTAATAAGACGCATTAAAATTTAATAAAAGCCTATAGATATTTAAAAAGTTTGTAAGCAATATATACATATGAGGAAATTAACTATTTTGTAGAATGCTAAGCGAGTAATGAAAAAGTCGTGAGTTACAACAAAAGGTTCACGGGTAGGCATAAAATAGTCGGTTAACAGGGATCATTGTAAGAATGGATGGATGGATGGATGGATGGATGGATGGATGGATGGATGGATGGATGGATGGATGGATGGATGGATGGATGGATGGATGGATTTCTACATACTAAGTGAAGGGCCCGACACGGTCCCGTCTGCATTCTTAAATTATGATGATCCCGACATGTAGGGTCTACGACAACGGACCCTCCTCCGGACATCTGCTTGGAGATTACAGGCTACGTCAACACGGCAAACCAGTTCACACGTGCAGCGTTTCACAAACAATGCCGGTCCAAATAACGTGTGGCTTCTGAACCCAGGCCATTCATCACATTGACAGAACTCGTTGTTCTGCCCTTCTCCCCGTTTTGGAGCAACTGACCTCTCCTCCTGGTCACGCAGCCTCTTACCCAAGGTCACGCCTGTCCTGGCTGTGACGCCATGTTACTGATAATATCAACAGATCGCAAATTATCACAGCAGATTTATTTTGTCGTTTTAATAGTGAACAATTTTCGTTGCAACTGAGTCATGGGTCTTTATACGTTTCTACAATGGGATTAAAGATCGTATCACAACAGCTTGGCAAGACTCTGGTAGATGTATATTAAAGGGAATCGAAAGTTTTACATTTACAAAAAGCAACGCCTGCCACTTTTCTTCGTGATTCTTTCTATATGATCAGATATTCTGGAAGTTGTGATTGCCATACTCAATTCTGAATTCAAATGTGTAGATAGAGTTCGACGACCTTCGTTAAATGATGTTTACCTTCACAACTAATAAATCATAGATGTTGCTTATTGAAATTGCAAAAAAGGCATAATTAGATGTTGCTAATTAAATATGCAAAAAGGCATAAATTTGCATAAATCAGTTGAGTTACCAAATACCAAAAACCAGGACGATTAGTCGACCCCCTCTTGAGTTAATCTTCTTTCGAATAATTTAACGCAAAAGCCCTGCAGTTCGAGAGCAAGTTGCTAGGAGTCTAAACTTGTGTCACTTCTTTCCGAGCTATCTACCACCTAAAACTCGTGGCTACAACAAATCCAGAACTCGAGACATCAAAACTGCGAGTTCCCCTGCAGTAGCTTAGAAATCCGCCAGGTGCCGAAATCTAATCATTTCTTCGTTTCACCTACACTTACCAACATTTTACCAACACTAACCAACATATCGACTTCTCGAGTTATGCTGTTCGCGCGCACACACACACACACAGATACACAGACACACACACAGATACGCACAGACACACACACACACTCAGATACAAGCACACACACAGAGGAGGCAGAGGCCTACGCTACGTCTGTGGGAGCCAAACACTTCCACACGCCCAACTCAACAAAGGAGTAGAAGAGATGTTTCTAGACCTTACTAAGAGTAAGTCTTTCCACAAAAAACTTGTATAGTTTGAAGGATTACTGTACATTTGTAATGTCACTTAAAGATTCTTGCAATTGCACCTTACATGTTTTTATATTAAACTCCATACCATTTGATGAAAATGTGATAATTGTTTTCCCTCATGTTTCTTTTCTGCAGCCATTTTGTAAAAACGATTCAATGTCTTCATTTCAAATGACATGAAATTTGGCAAATACCCCCTTACTTTTTTTTACCTTATTAAAAGTGAGTCTTTTCACAAGAACTTGATATTGTTTCACTTAAACAATCACTATACATTTCTTATTAAATATTTCTGCAATTGGATTTAACATTTTTTATATTTCACTCCATAACACAGGATGAAATATATTGTTTTCCATCATGTTCATCTCCTGCCCTATTGCTAAGAGCATTGTTTTTTTTTTGGCACAATAGGAATGTTAGAAAAGGACACCAATTCCAAACCAGACGCCACAGCCAAACCCGGGTCCATACTCATTTGCATACTTGTGACTTTTACCAGACATCGTGCCCCCGTATTGACACTTCCGGGTTCGATCCAAGTCAAAAAACACCATAAATCCGCAAAGAAATATATTATCACCAAAGGCTGTGCATATTTTCACTGAATCTGGCTATGCAGCCCTGGAAAACAGCGTTTTGGTGCATATTTGTAAACAAAGAATGTATTGAAACCAGACACCTCTGTGCGAAAGTGGACCCAACCGAGAATACTTCAACCACACCAAAGATCGACGGTCGCGACCACTTTCACGCTCAAAGGGGTGTTCTGGGGCCACCAAGAGGCACCATTTTCCCGCCCGAAAACACATGTACAATAAAAACAAGAAGCCATAGGTGACAATTCTCCGTGAAGTATTATATATTGCAACAAAAAGAAGTAGCCATTGGCGACAATTCTCTGTGAAGTGTGATAAATCGAACAAAGAAAAATTGTTTAAACGCGCGTCGGCTCAGTCATCTTAAGACGCAACAACCAATCAGAGATGCGAGATGCCGACACGTGACGCGGGATTTGCATACAGGCTAAACAACGGGGAAGGGCGCGCGATGCCCGAAATATTTTTGCGTCAATATTCAGCACCGTGATTCAAGAGATTAATACCCGGAAACAATTTCTTTTCTTGTTTTGGACGCATTAACATGCATTTACGCTAATCTAGTATGATTCAGGGTTACTTTTTTTTAACCTGCCATGGCCAGATTATCTAAAGATGTGTGTATTGTGTGTACAATCTACAGAAAGAGAAATGTACGTCAGGTCCGATCATCCGATTTTCACGTTTCGGTTTTTTGGACTCGGTTCATGAACGTATTTTGGTTTGGCTCCTGGAATGTGCAAAAAAAATGACTCCCGGGACTGTCTACAGGGAACACTCGCACATTCGCAGTGTATCAGGACAGCGCGACTGGTCGGCATTAGCGCAGTCCCTACAATTAGTAACAGTTGCATAAACGGACGAAAACATTTCAAAGAAATGGGGATGTTTCGAAAATAAGCATTTTCTCCAATATCAAAACAGCTACGGTAAAAATAAAAAGACGTGCATCATCCCGGACATAAATGCCACACCACATGCGAAATTACACAGAAATGCGACGTACGGAAGAATGCGTTTTGGCTGCGAACATCTTCCAAAAAACTTGCCATCTCTTAACCATGGGCAAAACCATCTGGAACCACTTATCAAAACCACCCCGTATCTGCATGAAGTTCCACCCCCCCACTGCTATTCCAAACAACGCGTTTTTCTGGACCATTCCAATTCGCCTCGTAATTGTAGGGGTGCGTCTGCAATATTACATTGACCGCGAAAGCAGCAACGGCAAAAATACACATTCGTGCATCAACACGGGAATGCCCGCAGACGGCGTATAAAATTGCGTGCCGATTACACAAAGAGAACCCAGTGTTTTGACTGCGAACATGAAAAATCAGCCGATCACAACACTCCGTCCGGAGGTCCTGACCTCCTTCACGGAGTAACAAAAGAACGTGCATCATCTACAGCCCAATAGCAAAACATATACCGAGTCCCAAAAGAATCCGTCCGCCCAAACGCGAGAAACTGCTGCGAACGTGATATTCTAAATCTCTCACATAGCCCTTCCGCGGAAGGATATCTCCTCCCCCGGAGGCAACAAGAAAGACAAGAAAGGACAGTTGCAACATTTTGTACTGTGGCACTCTGATACTCTGTCCAAGGATTCATGTAGGATGTTTTTCTCTCACATGAATGTTGTGTCAGTTATATGTACATGTATCATACTTACATTGTACAACATACATTGCAAACACTGGCCACAGCTCTAGTATTGTATATGTACCTGATCAATATGTATGTACACCAGTACTACTTTTAGGAATTATGAGTAACAGTAAGATACGTATTAGCTTTAATGCAAATTTCATGTGCTGATGAAATTTGTGGAAACATTTTTGCCTTAATGTTGTGTAAGGCATACGTTAGTGTGGATAATTATACTCTAAGTCTTAAATGGCTGTGCATTTCATGGTGAATATTGAACTAGAAATATGTCTCATCGTGTTAACCAGTATATAGATGGTCATTTCTTGATTGGTTTTGTAATTCTGCATTTATTTTTTACAAATATTAATTTGCACATTGTAAAGAATATATGATAAGTGTAGTGTGTGAATGCATCACTCTTACTCCAATGCCTGTAAAAATTAACACACTGTACAAAAAAGATTTCTGATCAATCAATGACAATCTGATACCCTTGAGAAAAAAATTGTCACTTTGCTACTCCAGAAGTTCATGACCTTGGCTGTCCTCTATTGCTGCTTTCTGATTGGTTGACTCGTGGTTGTGTATTTTCTGTCACAAAAAGTATTGTTAAAACGGAGCCATTTTGGAGCCTATTTTTGTGTTATTTGCTATTAGGTGGGATTTTGGGGAGCAAAATTCTGTGCATATTATGTTTTCTTTCAATTTTTCACGACATTGCACAACGATTTGAAGTATGGATAATTTTTTTTGTAATTTTCCAAGACACCCCCAACATTGTCTAGTATTTAGTTATGGATAAATATTAACAGATGTTGTGAGAGCTACTAGCATTCAAGGATGTAAGTATGTTAACAAAAGTCAAAATGATATTTGTGTTATGAAAATCTGTTAAAAGCAAAATCTGTTTAAAGCAATATATATATATATATATATATATATATATATATATATATATATA